TCAAGCCTGAGGCTGTTAGACTCAGAAAAACAAGCAGTCTGCTGACATGTCGTATCCTGATCCAATCACATTGCTTCCCCATAGGATTGGCTGAGACTGACAAGGAGGCAGATCAGGGGGAGAGCCAGCATGATTCAAACACAGCCCTGGCCAATCAGCATCTCCTCATAGAGATGAATTGAATCAATGAATCTCTATGAGGAAAGTTCAGTGTCTGCATGCAGAGGGAGCAGATACTGGATCTCTAACAGTCATCTGAGGAATAAATAACTATACATTAAAAATATATATAAATTAATAAAGATTCAAATAAATCTAATGAAAAATATCTGTACTATTTTATTTTAAAAAATGAGTACTCACTTTTTGAAGTTCACCTCCTCTATTCTGCCTTCTGTCTCCAGCCTCCTCTCTCCAGGCAGACTCCTGTCTCCAGCCTTCTGAATCCACATTCCAATCTTCTATCTTCAGGATGTCAGCACTAGCCAGCCCAAGCTGTGTTGTTGAAGATCTAATCTTCCAGACTCCCACACGCTGCTGCTTACAGCCTCAGGGGAGACAGGATGCTGCCCTCTGCTCTGCTGACAGCAGATCTGAGTGGATGAAGGTGTTTTATGCCTCCATCTACTTGGAAGCAGGGCCGGACTGGCCCACCAGGATGCCGGGAAATTTCCCGGTGGGCCGCGGCACCTGGGGCTGGTCTGACAGCCCTAATCATTGGGCTGACAGCTCTTGTGATCCCGGCCGGCCATGTACAAGGTGTGCGGCCGCACAGAGCTCCATGGGAGCAGGGGGAGCCAGGCGGCCGGCACAGCTCACACATCGTTTTAAAAAAAATTAAAAAAATTGCTGCGGGAGCGGAGCTTACGTGCGGTGGGGGCGGGGCTAGCAGGGCAGGGCTTAGCGTGCGGCAGGGGCGGAGCTTACTGTGCAGCGGGGGCCTGGCTGACTGCAGAATGGGAAGCAGGAAGGAGTCCCTGCTTCCCCAACAACCAGCCTCCAGGAGCTCCAAGCAGGAGGTAAGAAGCAGGTCAGTGTGTCTGTGTGTGACTGTCTGTGTGAGTGTGTGACAGTCTGTATGAGTGTGTGACTGTCTGTGTGAGTGTGTGACTGTCTGTGTGTGACTGCCTGTGAAGCTATGTGTGACGAGGATGGCGGCGGTGTGTGGCCACTGTGTGTGACTGCCTGTGGGGTGTGTGACTGTGTATGTGACTGTCTGTGAGGTGTGTGACACCACCTGTGTGTGAGTGTGTGACTGTCTGTGTGAGGTGTGTGACATCTGTGATGGCTAGGCACTGCCTGTGTGACTGTCTGTGTGTGACAGTCTGTGTGTGAGTGTGTGACTGTCTGTGTGTGACTGCCTGTGAGGTGTGTGACTGTCTCTGTGTGACTGCCTGTGTGAGACTGCCTGTCTGTGTGAGTGTGTGACTGTCTGTGTGAGTGTGTGACTGTCTGTGTGAGTGTGTGACTGTCTGTGTGTGACTGCCTGTGAGTGTGTGACTGTCTCTGTGTGACTGCCTGTGAGTGTGTGTGTGACTGCCTGTGTGAGTGTGTGACTGTCTGTATATGACTGTCTGTGTGTGACTGTCTGCGTGTGACTGTCTGTGTGAGTGTGTGACCATCTGTGTGTGACTGTGAGTGTGTGACTGTCTGTGTGAGTGTGTGACTGTCTGTGTTAGTGTGTGACTGTCTGTGTGTGGTGACTGTCTGTGTGGAGTGTGGAGCTGTTTTGTGTGTGACTGTCTGTGTGGGTGGTGTGACTGTCACTGGTGTGTGACTGCCTGTGAGGTGTGTGACTGTGGTGAGGTGTGTGTTGACTGTCTGTGTGTGGGCTGTCTGTTGTGAGGTGTGTGACTGTCTGTGTGTGACTGTCTGTTGTGAGGTGTGCGGACTGTCTGTGTTTGACTGTCTGTGTGAGGTGTGGCTGACTGTCTGTGGTGAGTTGTGTGACTGTGTGGGCGGGCTGTCTGCGTGTGACTGTCTGTGTGAGTGTGTGACTGCCTGTGTGTGACTGCCTGTGAGTGTGTGACTGTCTGTGTTAGTGTGTGACTGTCTGTATTAGTGTGTGACTGTCTGTGTGAGTGTGTGACTGTGTGTGACTGTCTGACTGAGTGTGTGACTGTGTGTGACTGTCTGTGAGTGTGTGACTGTGAGTGTGTGACTGTCTGTGTGTGTGTGACTGTCTGCCAGTGTGTGTGCATGACTATCTGCCTGTGTGTGACTGTCTGCGGGTGTGTGTGACTGTCTGCCTGTGTGTGTGTGTGAGTGTGTGGCTGCCTCCCTGTGTATGTGTGTGGCTGTCTGCCTGTCTTTGTATATGTGGGTGTTTGCCTCGATGTCAGTGACTGTCTGCCTGTGTGTGTGTGTGTGGCTGTCTGCCTGGGTGTCAGTGACTGTCTACCTCTGTGTGTGTGTTCGCGCATCTGCTAGCGAGGGAGCCTCTGTGTGTGTGTGTGTGTGTGTGTGTGTGTGAGTGAGCTTGTATGTGTGTCAGTGAGCTTGTCTGTAGGGATCATATGTGTGTGTGTGTTAGTGAGCTTGTCTGTAAGGAGCATGGGTGGGTCGGAGCCTGTCTGTGGTGAGCATGTGTGTACAGTGAGCTTGTCTGTAGTAAGCATGAGTGTGATCGTGAGCTTGCCTGTAGTGACCATATGTGTGTCAGTGAGCTTGTCTGTAGTGAGCATGTGTGTGTCAGTGAGCTTGTCTGTAGTGAATCTGTGTGTTAGTGAGCTCTTCTGTAGGGAGTGTGTGTGTCAATGGGCTTGTCTGTAGGGAGAGTGTGTGCGCATCAGTGAGCTTGTCTGTAGTGACCGTGTGTGTGTGACAGTGAGCTTGTCTATAGTAAGCTTGTGTGTGTGTATCAGAGTTTGTCTGTACTAAAGTTGTGTGTGTGCCAGTTACCTTGTCTGTGTGTGTCATTGTCTGTCAATGAGCCTATTTGTGTGCATCAGTAAGATTGTCTGTCTGTGTGTGAGTATGCTTTACTGTATAATTTAATTACCCTAAAAGAACTAATATTTTGAATTAGAAGAAGAAATGTATCAATAAAAAAAATAAAAAATAAAAATATATATGTATATATATATATATATATATATATATATATATTGTTGCATCACCAGGGCTCCAGTATCCAGTATATATATATAGGCAATTGAAATAGTTGGCTGCACTCTCGGATTTCCTTAAAATTTTACTTTTGTTGAAATATTTAAGAGAAGATCAACGTTTCAGTCCCTCTTGTGGACTTGCATCAGGATCATGACGAAAGTCCACAAGAGGGACTGAAACATTGATCTTCTCTTAAATATTTCAATAAAAGTTACATTTTCAGGAAATCCGAGAGTGCAGCCAACTATTTCAATTGTCTATATATATTTATATATATATATATAT